TGTGAACCCTGGTTTTGGTATAGGTTCTTTACAAGTGTTTTTAATTGTTATTCAAAGATAATGCTCAAATTCGAATCATTAGAAAGTAGGTACTGCAATAAATTACAGTGAGAATTCATAGTATCACATGGAAATTTTGTCACTGTCAATAGGTCATCCGCGCAATGAACAACTTTGCTGTACTCGATACGGGTTGATGAGTGAGCAGACGTAATCATTCTGCTTTTCTACGTATCATGATTCGTCAAGCTGTTGGTTCGTCTGTAAATCTCTACCCGAAGAGAGCACGGCGGCAGCAACAAAACTGTTGAACTACGCATTCACGATTGGTCCAAAACCCAATGTACTTTAGTTGAGTCGATCGTTCTGCTTACAGTACAAAATATAGGAGTAAGGCGCTAGGGAAGAGACTTCTATACTAAGCCAAAAAACTTTCATGTTTCATGCTCCTGATAGCTGCGTTGCGGCCTATGGCACTAATCCAGCACCTGAAATGATGTAAGGCCCCACTGTTTTGTTGTCATCACTATTTTTTGCTACCTTTTATTATAGGAAGAGTTGAGTCTAATCAAAACCTCTGAACTCTGCGCCGTGACATTCCATCAGTCCCCAAGATTAAAGCCAGTACTATGTACTACGCGAATAATTATATCAGCAGCAGTAGTCAGACATATCAGTGATTCGGCATGGAAAAAAGTAGACTCAAACTCGACCTCAATCAAGACTTAAAACCAAACATCCGCCTATGAAAAAAATATTACCTCCTGCTCGGGCAAATTCTCAGCGATCGAAGATTCTTCGACAACAACGCCATCTTTGGCGTTTTCTTCTTTAATGTGTTGGATTCTGTCGCGTTTGATGTTGCCGGCGCTAACCAACACGTATTTCAGGGCCCTCAGCCCAAAGTCGTAATGAGTCTGGTTGGACAGCTGCTCGCTGCATAATCTTAAAAAAACAGTTTTTTGAGCAAATCTGGCAAAATATGCCTGCAAATCACTAACTTGAAGAAGGGAACAATTTTGCTAGCCAACTTCTCAGC